CAGTACAATGATATGGAAGAATTCACTTGTATTTTAAGTTAAATCATTTTGTCATAATTCTATTGTTACTTATTAACTAACAATAAAAATGCTTTCATGCACTGCAATCTTTTACTTTGTAAATTATTTTAAATACAGGCTGAATAGTAAAGGATAAATAAAAACATTTTTCATTTATTCATTTGGTGGTTTTCATTACACAAAGGAATCTAGTCCAGGCAATATGACATTTTTGAAAATGTTACACAGTATTCAACAGATTTGTCCTATGAAAATTCACTGGGTGAAACAGAAATGCCTTTTTAATCCTAAAACATTTTAAGATATTTTTGAAAATATAATTGCAACAGAATCACATTAGACTATAATCCCTTATAAGAGCTGTAGAGGTTGTAGTGTGCCATAAGGCTTAATGAGTCAATGTTTGGGTAGCTCAGAAGAGAATGTCTGCTACTACTCACTCTCCCCACTGCAGAGCAGCAGTACAGTAGCTGCTGTGAGGTGACATGCAATGAAACCATTAGTGATTCTCAATTCAGAGAGTAAAGAATTACAAATGCAAATAATTGTTTAAAATGTTCTAATCTTCTTTATACACGTTTTCTCTAGGTGCTGTGGTTTCCTCCCAACTTCCAAAGGCATATTGGACAGGTTAATTAGTATCTTTAATTTGTCCCCGTGTGCTTGAATGTGTGTGTGTAACCTGTGAAGCACTAATTTACTGTACAGGGTGTTGTTCCAGTGTACCCTGTATGTTTGTGTGGTGGGTTCCAGTTTGCCAGGACCCACACTAGGAGAAAGAACAGTACTGTATCTGACCTGGAGTAAGCACCTTTCAACCACTCAGTTATATGGGGCAAAATTATTATTAAATGCAAACGCTGTCTGTATGGTATAATGAGAAAATGAACCAAGGATCTCACAAAATCCCTAAATATTTAAGCAGGAATTTAGTGTATTTATCAAAATATTGAGGGATTTGGTGAAGTTCTTGAGTTTCATATTCTCACTTTAAGATATGAAGTCTCTACACTTTCAGAGTGTACTTCTACTTTTTTCCACAAATGGTTATGGGAGTCTGGAAAAGGCTACCAAAGGATATTCGCTGAATGTGATGCTCTGTCATCTTTCAAAAATCATGGTTTTGGAAAGACTGATAAAAAGAGGCCTTATGAAATCTTTAATTCCTGATCAAGCAGGGAAGGTGAGAAACACACATAAAACATTATATGCTACAGCACTTCGTCTCCATTGGTGTTAAAGGAGTTGGTATTGGTTCAGTTCATGCTTGTGGCATTGTCAGTCCTAACTTTGGATTCAGAGCTTTACAAGCATCACATAATACAGCATCATGATTGAATTAAAAATGTTTGATCTTGGCCTAAATGTAAACCATGGCTTGCTTTGTGAAAGTTTGTTGGGTTCAGTAAAAAAAAAAAAATTTCCAGTCCACGTTTAATATTACAAACATTTTAAACTATTTAAAAAATGTGTGTGAAATATGTATATTTTGGAATAAAATGAATGATTGAAGGGAAAAAGAGAGCTTCATATAAAAAATAAATATATTATTAGAATCTAAGGTGTGGAAAAAATATATACTGTAGCAACTGCTGTTTCCTTGCCTGACATTTGGGAGGGAGACACCTTGGGGGTCAGGCTGTACTATCTTCAGGAGGGGGTCCGGGAGACCTGAACATTGTCTAAGGCAACCAAGTGACGCTGAAGGAAATGTAGTAAACTACATGGGTTCATGCCAGAACTGATCAGCAGCTAAAAAGACTGTCCTGTGCACCTTTTCTTTGTTTTTAAGTTAATGGTTTGGTTTGGGAATGTTCCTTTCTGTATGGAGCCTAAAGGCAGATTGCAAGCTTTTTGAAGCCAGAGGGAGAGGGCTCGCTGTCGTTTCCATGAGTCTGAAGCACCTTCACCGAGAGGTGCAGCTGCACAAGTATGAAGGCTCAATGTCCTCTAAGGTGTTCAGCTGAGCTCAGCTGTCGGAGTAGACAGGGTGGGGTAGTGAGAGTGATCTGGATCTCCTGAGTGTAAATGAAGCATAAAACACCATTGGGCAGAGAGCACAGAGCAATTGAGCGAGACCGAAGGGGTGCTGCATTTGCTAATAGGAAAGAAAGTGTGTGTGCTAACAGTGCTGTGGGGGAGAAATTGACAAAAGACTGCCTTTGTGTCTGGGAGAGGGCACTG